ATCAGCCTCACAGAGAGGAGTGCTGGTCCAGGTCCTGCTTCGCCTCCTCGCAGATCAGGAGGCAGGTGTCGCAGGCCACGGGGCAGGCGACGCTGGCCAGGACGCCGTCCTCGGACTTGACCTTGGCCGTGCAGCGCTTCGCCGCCTTCTTGCCGACCCAGGCGCAGTTCTTCTCGTCGTCGCCTTTCTTGTGCCACGTCGTCGAGTCCGTGCACGCGGAGTCGAAGGAGTCGCCGCCGGCGCTGACGGCGCCGCTCTCGGAGCCGGCCTTTGCGACGACGGCGAGCGCGAGGAGCAGGAGCGCGTTCCGCTTCATCTTCGCGTGAACGTGTAGCTGGTACGGCGCGAAAGCCTGAGGGGGGGGCGCGAGGGTAATGGTCTCGGTTGCGTAGCGCGAGGAGCGGGGCACGGCTCGGGAGGTTTCGGGGGCGCGCGGGGCTCGCCGGCGCGACGAAGGAGGTTCCTCGTCGGCGACCGACGCCTTCGCGAGGGCCCGAGGGCGTCGGCGATCCGCGGAGCGGACGATGCGGGGGCGGGCGAGGGCGGGGCGGGCAACGTGGTGGTCGGCGGACGAGGGCTCAGCGGGGAAGCGGGTTCGGGCGAAATCGGCCGATCCGAGGCGGTCGCCCGATCATCTACGATCGACGAACCGCGGAGGGGCCGCGGGATGCGGCCACGTCGCCAAGGTCGCCAAGGCCGCGCGAAGGCCGTACGGCGCGCCGCCCCGGTTCACTCGGCGCGCCGCGACGGCGGCGCCGTTGATTCGGTCGTCGCCCGGCCGCCGCGGCCGTTTGCCCGGAAAGCGTGGCGAGCGGTCGATTTTTTTAGGGTCGTACACGATGTGGGACGCGGGGCGGCACTATGAGGAAGGGGATGATGAGCGAGCGTGAGCGTGGGCGTGGGCGACGTCGTTGATGGCTCAGATTTTTGGCGTCAATCGCGGACGGAGACCGGTTGAAGGTGAGCGTATGGGCTCCGGGCGTCTGGTCGCGGACAAGCTGCCCCTTCCGCGCCGACGCGTCGGGTGAGGGCGCGAAGTATGTCCCTCAGGCTCCTGATGGCTGGCTCCCGGGGCGTAGCGCCCCATCCCCGTCGTCTACCGCGTTCAGGGCCTCCGCGG